GAGTGAACTGGTCAACCCCCCTATCCTGTAGGTCCGCTCCACTCACCAAGTTCGTAGAGAACGAGGGGAGGTAGAGACCTGAGAAGGTGCCAGAGGGGGCTGCCGGGCACGGTAAGGCAGTGGAGAAGCAAGCAAGGACAGGACCCCCAGAGGGGTTCGCCAGGGAGACCGCAACCAGCCGACTGAGCGGCGTAAGAGTAGTGCGGTCTCGAAAGAAGGGCGGGACGCACCCGAGTGAAGGGTGAAGGTGTGTAAGGCTTGAGCCGACGTAGTACCTGATAGAGCACACTCGACAGCACCTGGGGCAGCAGACGCACTAGCACCTAAAGCAGCAGCCTCAATGCCCGGGTCAGGCGGTACCCACAGGTAACTGTCACCCGCAACACTATCATCAACAGCATGCATGGCAGCAAGAATAGCATCAAAATCAAGATCAAAGATAGCAACCCCCACCCTAGACAGCTCTCCCCAGCGAGGGATCTCAGAGGCCCCAGGGAACTGGTTACGCCACGCGTCCGTCAGGCGGCTGAAGCAGCGCTGAGTAGAGTGCGGGCCCCCGCACTGCTCACCAGCGCGGTCGCCGGTGCGGAGAACATATGTGCAGGGATCCGTACCCCCACCGCGCTGACGCGCAGCGTACCACTCACGAAGCTGCTGAGGGGACAGGGTCTCACGAGTGCTCTGCTGCTGCTGGCGCGTACCACCACCGGAGCCACTCCTCTTCGCAGAGCCGCGACCAGGTCCACTGCTGCCGTCGCCGCCGCCGCCGCCTCCTCCGCCACCTCCGGCGCCTCCGCTCCCTCCGCCACCACCGCCGCCTCCTCTGCCTCCACTGCTGCCGCTGCCGCCGCCACCACCGCCACCACTCCCAAAACCACCCCCACCCCCTCCACTGCCTCCACCACCACCTCCACCGCCCGCGCTAGCCCCTCCAGCGCCCTTGCTCCCCTTGCCCTTGCCGGTGCGGCGTCTCGTGCTAGGGGCCGACGCAGCGCCAACCGACTCGAAACCAACGAGGTCGGCCGCAGCAGCAGAAGCAACAGAGGGCAAGAGGGGGGAGGGGGAACACCCCTCAAAGACGGGGGTGCAAGGGTCACCACGAGAGGCTTTTACAGCAACTATGCTCTTCTCTGCTGCTAGGAGGCCCTTCTCGAGGAGGTCAACGGTGAGAGTGGTGGGGCAAACTGAGAGGAAGTGGTCCCTGACAACGCGAAGAGAGTCAGGGAGCCGGGTGACTATGTAGTAGAGGGTGATGTACATGGGGGGGGGGGGGGGTTCTTGGCGCAGAACTCAGTAGGAAGCGCAGCGCGGTAGCGAGTGTCACTAGTGCGGAGGTGTGTAATGAGGTCAGCGACTGTGGGAAAGGCAGCAAGGTCAGGGAAGAGGTACGGTAGCATGAGGCGGCTCAGTGCAGCAGTGGCAGGGGAAGAGTAGCGTGCAACTACAGCGTCGTACAAGGTCTGAGCACTCTTGTACTGGCTAAAGTGTGCACGCTCAGTGGTCGGCAAGTGGCGACGCAGAGCAAGGCAAGCAGCAGCATCGCGTGTGGCCCACTGTGAGCGAACAGTGCTGTCAGCAGTGGCATCCGGGGCAGGAGAGACACCAGAGGTGAGATCGAACAGAGAGAGTCCGTCTGCCCCATCGCACTAGAGAAACAGCTGGAGGTCATCGACCCAGACCTCAAAGTCAACGGCACGGCCCTCAGCATCAAAAGTAAGGACACTGGGGGTAGCCATGACTGCAGTGGCCTAGAAGGAAGTGAGCTCACCAGTCCGAGGAAGGAGGGCCGGGGATCACCGGTAGGAACAGCAGCGGCTTGTCAGTAGGGCGGCTCGGCGGCAGGGCGCCTCGGCTGCTGGGCGGCTCGGCTGCTGGGCGGCTCGGCGGCAGGGCAGCTCGGCTGCTGGGCGGCTCGGCTGCTGGGCGGCTCGGCGGCAGGGCGGCTCGGTTGCTGGGCGGCTCGGTGGCAGGGCGGCTCGGATGTTGGGCTGCTCGGCGGCTCGGTCGCTGGGCGGCTGAGTGGTGACAGGGCCGCTAGGGGAGGGCGACGGGGCCGCAGGTGACGGCGACGGGGCCGTAGGTGGCGGCGAGGCCGCAGGTGGCAGCTGCGTGGCCGCAGGTGGCGGCAACGGGGCCGCACGTGGCGGCGACGGGGCCGCAAGGGGCCTAGACGGGGCCGCGGAGGGGCCGTAAGGGGCCTTGACGGGGCCGTAGCGGGGCCGAAAGGGGCCTAGACGGGGCCACGGAGGGGCCGTAAGGGGCCTAGACGGGGCCGTAGCGGGGCCGCAAGGGGCCTAGACGGGGCCGCGGAGGGGCCGTAAGGGGCCTAGATGGGGCCGTAGCGGGGCCGCAAGGGGCCTAGATGGGGCCTCGGAGGGAACGTAAGGGGCCTAGACGGGGCCGTAGCGGGGCTGCAAGGGGCCTAGACGGGGCCGGAAAGGGCGCCGCGAGGGGCCGAAAGGGGCCGCGAGAGGGACGTAAGGGCGACGCGAGGGGCCGTAAGGGGCCGTAAGGGCGGCGCGAGGGGCCGTAGAGGGCGGCGCGAGGGGCCGTAAGGGCGGCGGGAGGGGCCGTAAGGGCAGCGCAAGGGGCCGTGAGAGGGGCCACTAAGGGCGGCTCGAAGGTAGGGAGGGCACACAGAGCGCGACTCGGGCAGGAGTGAAGCGCGCTCCGGGCAGGAAAAAAAAGTATCGTGGTGGGCCCTAGGTAGCGTTCCCACTAGGGAACCTGCTCGATACCATGATGAGAAACGAGAATCGATGCATTGAGCAGAAAGGGGAGTACAAGTAGCAAACCCTAAAGTGTTGTACCCCATATGGATTGCCCTACTACAGCCTACACAGACTATAGCATATATGCCTGACAAAGTGCGCAATTTTCAGGCATTTTTACTTTCACGCATCAGATTGTAGGTGGTTAAAGTGGCATTCTGACACGGTCAATGCGTCAGACTCGAAATCTGACGCATTGACCGCGTTAGATCGAAGGGTTGACTAGGCTTTTCCAACTTTGCTTTTTAGCTGCACTCGATTTTGGTGAAAAAGTCTAACTGTATGCAGAAAAACGGTTCCCTATGAGTAAAATAGATGTATGGGGGTCTTATCTATTTCCATCCTCCATAGTGTTCACCCTAGATTTTTTTAATGAATTTCCATAAAGTCCCCCGGGTCCTATATACGGGAAAATACGGAATGTCAAGGAAAATACCGTAATCCCCTGGGCACACTGGAAGTCACGTGACGAAAGCGTCAAAGGCAAGGGCGTGTCAGAGTATGATAGCGTGTCAGATTGCAGCGAGGATAAATGTACCGTAGTACGATTCTGGTTGTTTGTCAATAAGGTTTGTAATTTCGTGATGTAGGATAAAGAGGACTTGTAATTTCGATATGTGATAGAGAAGTTAGCTCTGCTCAAAAGAGTACGACGAGAATTAACCTTCCAGCATATGTGCACTGTTGATGTTACCCGGCGCTAGAATGCCGAGTGCCACTCGACCCCGGCCGAGGGGCGCGTGCCAGTTGCTAGTGCCAGTCGCTCTTATAGCAAGCATCAATTGCGTGCGAGCGGAATGGTGTTGGTCGGTACATCGTCAATCTCCAAGATGCACGATGGCACAAGGTGAATGGCTTTTATCATTGACAACCGCATGTGCAACTGGATCAGCCGTTGAACTACTAAATGTCAGTAGGTCAATGCTTGAGGCGCAATGGAAGCCACCACACCGTGCTGCATGATTCCTCCGTTGGTGGCCCCGTGACGCGCGTGTTCCCAACTGAAATGGATAAAATGGAGGGACTGCCCGTGGTAGCCACAGCCATACCTGAAGCTGTTCCGTTTCAAAAGCAACAAGCCCCGTTAGGTTCCTTCTAGCAGTGCTACTGGTACCGTCTGCAGTCCCTCTCTAGGAATGGCACGGCTTCCGGCTCTCGGCTTGGCGGCTTCCATGATTTTCGTTCTCCTATGCTGTAAGCCCGTTACGATCTCCTCACCCTCCCTTTCTCGCTCTCAGTGTCTTGCGCTCTCACTGCCTTGCGCTCTTGACCATGCGTGAGGCGACGACGCTCGCCTGGTTATTTATTCCGAGCTCACGAGGACCGCTCGCTGTTGCTGCGCTGACTTTATTCATGTTCCTGTCATAAAATGTAACGTCCGTGGGCTGTGTTAAGGGCACTCCGCTGTGCCAAATAACACCCTCGTTTTGACCCAGTGGGTAGCGAGGTGTTATACTGGTTTTAGAGCCTAGGGTTCGAGTCCTGGCTGGTTCACACTTTCCGCCTTTGGCGAGAACTGGAGTGTGGTTGTAACTAGCTCGAACCCAACGAACGATCCAGAGAGGTCCTTGTGGAGGGGCTGACTTTTCTGAAGTTGAGGGCCAACGGGGACGCTCGCAACCAGGGGGGGACGAGTGTAACGCCTGTGGGCTGTGTGAATGACACTCTGCTGCACCAAATAACACCCTCGTTTTGACCCAGTGGGTAGCGAGGTGTTATATAAAACCGGCAGAGTTAGATGCAGATTGTTATGAAGGAGACTGTTAGCAAACTTGATGTCCTTCCTATCCAGCAATCCAGATCCAAACTCTCCTACTCTCTGAACGATGATTCAGCACTGTTGGGAAGGACTGTGCCTAGAAGGGCATGAATTTGCTAATAGGTGAATCGTGAATAATGTTTGATGATTAACACCATATATTGTTATGAAATGAAATACACTCGGCATTCGTGTTTGTAATGAAGACGAGCTTTAGAGTATGAGTATGAAGGCGGGAACCAGATAGAACAGTTAACTGCTGACGTAACAATCCCGGAAGGCATCAGCTACACCAATTTAAGCATCAGGGCTGGTAGCGGTAGCAGAGCAGTAGAAGCGAGCTGCTACTCCGAATACGCCTCCACCAGGTGCAACCCGCACGCACACTGCACCACAGGCATGGTGGTGGGCAAGTCCAGCCGCACAAACCTGCCCCCTTTGGCCCCGCCCCTACGGCCTGCTTTTGTGCTTCAATGGGCGAACTGGTGGCGAGCAGCGGCAATGGCGTGGTGGATGGCGGAGTGGTTGGAGACAGCAAGAAGCAGCGGGGGCTCGCCAGATGCTGGTGGGGTGGGGGTTTGGGGGGGTGGGGGGGGGGGAAGGGGGAAGAGTGGGGTAAGGTGTCGGAGCGTGTTTCTTGCCCACTTGTGTGTTGTTATTTGATGGTAGGACCCTCATGGGTAGGTGCAATACAAGGTAGGGATGACTGTTTGATGCATCGAGGTTCGGAACACTGTGCTATGCAGTAACAAGAGAGGTCTGTAGAGCGGAGTGAACGACGGAGAAGCAGAAGCGAGAGGGTGGAGAGCAAAGGGAGTGGATGAGGGCAGTGAGAGAGAAGGTGGGGGTCACATTTGGAGGAGAGCACGCCTTGCTTGTTGGTTGTCCCATGCAGGAGGGAGACGGTGTCGAATGACAGTAGCTTCCCGATAGCTTCGTCCACCAGCACCTCTTCCATGGTGAAGAAGCCCTCCCCCTGCACGAACGCCCCCTCAACCTGGCGAGGGCCAAGGGAAGGGGAAGGAGGACGAGAAAGAGGGGGAGGGAGAGAGCGAGGGAGATAAAGCAGAGGATCAGCATAGTTGGTGGGCAGACATGGGTGCAAAGAGATGGCAGCTAAGAGGGAAGAAAATGCAACAAGAAACACGATGTATGGGGATGCACCGGTTGCTGAAAGGATAGAGGGGTGCACATGGATGGATGAACAATTGCATGCACATGGCGTGCACATGCATGCATCGCCCGATGTCGACAGCCGGATTGAGGCTGCGCGCACAGTCATAGTGTGTGTCAGCACACTGCACCTCCACTGCCCCTGACAACACATCCACCTCCACCTGCTCCACCATTGTGCCATTGCAGTTGGTATAGAGGGTGGGGAGCAAGGAGAGACAGGAAGGGCGGGAATGAGAGGATGAGAAGAAGGGGGATTTTGGCATATAGCCGGCATGAGATGGCACATAGTCGGCATGAGATGGCAGCAGGGAAGATTTCTGTATGCATGCTTTGCTTGATTGCATACCGTCATCCACAGGTGTACCTCTGAGACGGTGGCACCAAAGGTGAAGAAGGAGGCGTGCGAGGGGTCTGGGGTGAAGCGCTTTTGCACAGAGAGCGTCACCTCCATGGCCTTGGCTTGTGCTGCCACCTCTTCCCACCTCGCCACGTCACCCCCCTCCACTGCTATGTCACCCTCTTCCACTCCTGACTCCCCTGCCAAGAGCCTGCTCTCCCCCCTCACTCGCCGACGCGCCTTGGCCTGCTCAACTGCAGCTTTGAGGCAGTGGCAAATGGGGCAATTTAATGATTTTAATAACAAATGGTCAGACGGGGCAGACGCGACTTGGCCTGGTCAAATCTAAGGGCATTTGCTATTAAAATCATTATAGATTTCAGAAATATACATGGAGTAGAATATTTGGCTGTAGTATTCTGAATGTTCTGAATGCTCTCCGCCATGGCTCCTAACAAGCCTTACTCGCCATCAATGTCAGACTATCCAGTATCAGTTCCAACATCTGACAGCATTTTCGGAACCTACATAGCACGACCATGCTACCGACACCAACATTGTGCTCATCAAGCGAGCATCGGATCGTCGTTGCAGCTCTCGCAGGTTTCTGTGGCTCAGATTTTTAACTCGAAAAATGTTTCAGGACATCCAAAATGGCATGAGAAAAGACGCACGGGTGCAAGCCATGGTGTGAAGTACAAGTGCAAGGAAATAGCTCAACAAAATGTCTTAAGACTATCAGCTTTTGCTGTCCTACGTCGATCAGATACAGGAGCCTCACGCTCGCCACGCCAACCCATGTCAAATAACTACATATATGAATCAGCATCCGCTTTCAAACAAGAGACCCCGACGATATTCGACCGTGGAGAACAACCTATTCTATCAATGGCTTCATCAACTGAAGAAGATTTATCTGTTTTTCTTGACGACAACCTCTAGAAGCAGGGAGGTGGATTTTTTGCCAGAATACTTTCAAGACAAGTCAATGTTGCTAGAGGAAACTAAGCTACGGCGCTACGATACGACCCTGCACGAGATCCCACAAGCTCGTCAAGATACCCAGAGGATGTCAGAACATTATAGCTTATGCTTTTGTGTAGGCTGTAGTGGGGGTACAACCCAATTAGGGTTAGTACTTGTACCCAACACTTTCATAGTGCATTTATTCTCGTTTCAGTTTTCTAATGGTATCGAGCAGGTTCCCTCGTGGGAACTGTTCCTAGGGCCCACCGATTCGATTTTTTTTCCTGCCCTGAGCGCGCTCAGTCCTTGCCCGAGTCGCGCTCCCCCTTTCTCACTGTGTCGCGCCGCCCTAACGGCTGTGTCGCGCCGCCCTTGACGGCCTCGATTCGCCGCCCTAGCGGCCCCGTCACCTACCCCGCGGCCCTCGAGCCGCCCTTCACGGCCCCGATTCGCCGCCCTTTCGGCCCCGTCGCCTACCCCGCGGCCCTCGCGCCGCCCTTCCCGACCCGGCTCCGACCCTACGGCCCCGTCGCCTACCTGCGGCCCCGCCGCCTACCTGCGGCCCCGCCGCCTACCTGCGGCCCCGTCGCCTACCTGCGACCCCGCCGCCTTTCTGCGGCCCCGTCGCCTACCTGCGGCCCCGCCGCCTACCTGCGGCCCCGTCGCCTACCTGCGGCCCCGCCGCCTACCTGCGGCCCCGTCGCCTACCTGCGGCCCCGTCGCCTACCTTCGGCCCCGCCGCCTACCTGCGGCCCCGTCGCCTACCTGCGGCCCCGCCGCCTACCTGCGGCCCTGTCGCCTACCTCTGGCCCCGTCGCCTACCCTACGGCCCCGGCCCAGCCCCTGCTGGCCCCGTCGCACGCCCTTCCCGGCCTTGACCTCGCCTTCACGCGGCCCCGCCGGGCTACTGCCGAGCCGCCAGCGCCACCCGAGCCGCCGCACCACCTGAGCCGCCCGAGCCGCCGCCCCGCTGAGCCGCCTCAGCCGCCCAAGCCGCCCGAGCCGCCCGAGTTGCCTGAGCCGCCCGAGCCGCCTGAGCCGCAGAGTAGCCGAGCCGCCCGAGCCGCAAAGTAGCCGAGCCGCCGAGCTGCAGTTCATGCCGAGCCGCCGAGCTGCAGTTCCTGCCGTGCTGCCGAGCCGCCGAGCTGCCCGAGCCGCCCTGTCCGGTAAGAGCAGCGCATCTGTCACTGCACTGCCCTTACCCCACTGTTCGTGCTACTAGTCTACTGCTGTCATGGCTACCCCTAGTGTCCTAGCTTTTGACACTGAGGGTCAGGCCATTGACTTTGATGTGTGGGAAGATGACCTGCAGCTTTTCCTACAGTGCAATAGGGCAGACGGTCTCTCCCTCTTTGACCTCACCTCTGGTGCCTCTCCTGCCCCTGCTCCTGATGCTGACGCCACTGTTCGCTCACAGTGGGCCACACGCAATGCTGCTGCACGTCTTGTTGTGCGTCGCCACCTACCTACCTCTGAGCGTGCGCACTTTAGCCAGTACAAGAGTGCTCAGACCTTGTACGACGCTGTAGTTGCACGCTACTCCTCCCATGCCACTGCTGCACTGAGCCGCCTCATGCTACCGTACCTCTTCCCCGACCTTGCTGCCTTTCCCACAGTCGCTGACCTCATTACGCACCTCCGCACTAGTGACACTCGCTACCGCGCTGCGCTTCCTGCTGAGTTCTGCGCCAAGAACCCCCCCCCCCCCATGTACATCACTCTCTACAACATAGTCACCCGCCTCCCTGACTCCCTTCGTGTAGTCAGGGACCACTTCCTCTCAGTTTGCCCCACCACTCTCACCGCTGACCTCCTCGAGAAGGCCCTCCTAGCAACGGAGAAGAGTATAGTCGCTGTAGGAGCCTCTCGTGGTGACCCTCGCACCCCCATCTTTAAGGGGTGTTCCCCCTCCCCCCTTCTGCCCTCTGTTGCCTTTGCTGCTGCGGCCGACCTCGTTGGGCTTGAGCCGGTCGGTGCGGCGTCTACCCCTAGCGGGAGACGCCGCCCTGGCAAGGGCAAGGGGGGCAGGGGCGCTGGAGGAGCTAGCGGGGGCGGTGGAGGCGGCGGTGGAGGCGGCGGAGGGAGTGGGGGTGGCGGTGGAGGTGGTGGCGGGGGTGGAGGTGTCGGTGGCGGCAGTGGAGGCGGAGGAGAAGGCGCTGGCGGTGCGAGCGGAGGAGGTGGCAAAGGTGGCGGCGGTGGAGGAGGCGGTGGCGTAGGAGATGGAGCTGGTCGGGGTGGCACTGCGCAGAGGGTCGGCTCCGGTGGAGGTCAGCGCCAGCAGCAGCAGCAGCAGCAGCAGCGCACTCGTGACATCCCCTCCACTCAGCCACTCCGTAAGTGGTACAGTGCACGCCAGCGGGGTGGGGGTTTTGGTCCGTGCACCTACGTCCTACGCACCGACGACCGCGCGGGTGAGCAGTGTGGGGGTGCGCACTCCACCTAGCGCTGCTTTGGCCGCCTGACGGACGCTTGGCGTCACCAGTTCCCGGAGGCCACGGAGATCCCCCGCTGGGGTGAGCTGTCTAGGGCGGGAGTAGCTGTCTTTGACCTTGACTTTGATGCTATTCTTGCTGCCATGTATGCTGTGACTATTAGTGATGAGGGTGACTGTTACCGGTGTTTTCCGCCCGACCCGAGCATTGAGACTGCCGCTCTAGGTACTGGTGAGGCTGCTGCTCTAGGTGCTAGCGAGGCTGCTGCTCTAGGTGCTCGTGCGTCTGCTCCCTCAGGTGCTGGTGAGTCTGCTCTCTCAGGTACCGCGTCGGCTTCGGCCTCCCACACCTTCACCCTTGACTCGGGGGCTTCTCGCTCCTTCTTTCGAGACCGCACCACACTCACGCCGCTTGGCCGGCCAGTTGCAGTCTCTGTGGCAGACCCCTCTGGGGGTCTTGTCCTTGCTCACTACTCCACTGTCCTCCCGTGTCCGGCGGCCCCCTCTGGCACCCTATCTGGTCTTTACCTCCCCTCGTTCTCTACGAACTTGGTGAGTGGTGCTGACCTACAGGATGCGGGGGTTCACCAGTTCACTCTTGCGCGTCAGCGGGTGACCCAGTGCACGGACGCTCGGACAGGCCAACACCTGGCCACGTTTACACGTCGGCCAGGGTCGAGCCTGTACACACTGACCACTGTGTCTCCTCCAGTCATTGCGTCTGGTCAGGTAGCTGCGTCGGGTCAGGTGTTTGATGCAGCGTCTAGGTCTGGTCCTGAGTGTGCCCCCTGCTCGTGTCGCCTCGTGTCTCACGAGACTCTCCTCTGGCACCACCGCCTTGGTCACCCCTCCCTGCTTCGTCTCCGAGGCATGGCCTCCCGTGTCCTTGTCTCTGGTCTTCCCCGGTCCCTCCCTCCCCTTCCTCCTAGGCCTGGCCCTACCTGCGTCCCCTGTGTCGAGGGGCGGCAGCGAGCTGCCCCTCACTCCTCCTAGTTTCCTCCGACAGAGGCCCCGCTGCAAACGCTTCACATGGACGTGTGGGGCCCGGCCCGCGTCCATGGACAGGGTCACGAGCGCAACTTCTTGCTGGTGGTTGACGACTGCTCGCGTTACACCACAGTCTTCCCCTTGCGCAGCAAGGGCGATGTCACTGAGGTGTTGATCGAGTGGATCCGCGCGGCTCGTCTCCAGCTCAGGCGGAGCTTCGGCTCGGACTTTCCTGTTCTGCGTCTACACTCTGACAGAGGCGGAGAGTTCTCCTCTGGCCTTCTGCGAGCCTACAGTCGTGCACGAGGCATCCGCCAGACCTTCAAGCTTCCGGACTCTCCAGAGCAAAATGGGATTGCTAAGCGCAGCATTGGCATGGTCATGGATGTCGCTCGTACGTCCATGATGCATGCGGCTGCCCCCCTTTTTCTGTGGCCATTTGCGGTTCGGTACGCGGCGCATCAGATCAACCTTCACCCCAGGGTCTCCTGGCCGGAGACCTCCCCAGATTTGCTGTGGACGGGGAAGGTTGGCGATGCGTCTGCGTTCCCTGTCTGGGGATCTCGGGCGTTTGTTCGCGACTTGTCTACGGACAAGCTGTCCCCTCGTGCTGCTCCTTGCGTCTTCCTTGGCTTCCCCCCTGACGCGCCAGGGTGGCAGTTCTACCACCCCACTTTTCGCCGTGTTCTGTCCTCCCAGGACGTCACATTTGACGAGTCGGTCCCCTACTACCGCCTCTTCCCCTACCGCACTCCGTCCCCCCCCAGTAGACCCCCTCCCCCCTCAGGGTCCTGCCCCTTCAGGTGTGTCCCAGGTAGACGCAGTCGAGCCTGTCGAGGTTACTGGTGGCTCTGGTGCTGCTGAGGGTGCTGAGCCTAGGAGTGCTGACTCTTGGGGTGCTGAGCGTGTGGGTGCTGCGCCTGAGGTTGCGGAGCTTGCGGATGCTACTACTTGGGGTGCTGAGCCTGGGGGTGCTGAGCGTGTGGGTGCTGCGCCTGGGGTTGCGGAGCTTGCGGATGCTACTACTAGGGGTGCTGAGCCTGGGGGTGCTGCGCCTGGGGGTGCTGAGCCTGGGGGTACTGAGCCTGGGGGTGCTACGCTTGGGGGTCCTGAGCCTGGGGGTGCTACGCCTGGGGGTGCTGAGCTTGGAGGTGCGGAGCCTGAGGGGGTTGGG